ATTATAGTTTTATTTAAGGAGTTAGCTTTACATATGGTAATGCAAAATTAGCAAAGAAAAATGCAGTCAAATTCAGAAAGTGTTGGAATAAATCTGGAGGCCTAGGAGATCGTCCAGTTCTGTGTAGATCATTATGAAACCCTTTCTCATTAGCAGAGACAAACTTGGAGAAAGGAAGAGGACTCTCATTCCTGTTTCACAGACCGGGGCGAGGCGGGCTGGGGGTGCAGTGAAAAGGAAAAGTGTATTGCACAAGGATAACTTCTGGCAGTACCAGCAATTGGGCTGACCCTTAAGAAAGACACCAAGTACAAAATGGGAACTTCTCATTAGCTTCGTAACAGATCTGCTGAGGTCTTTTTGCTCAGCCTACAGAATTTGCTCTTCTGTAACCCAGCAAATTTTCCCTCACCGTCTTCCTCATTTGTGACTGTCTCCAAAACAGTGAACTTCCCTAGAGAAAACAATACAGTCTTGGTGCTTCTGATTGTACTCAGGGTTGCTGTATTAATTCCCTCAAGAATACAAGGTATGTGAAAGCAGCACTAGAGTGCATCACCACTTGATGGCACCAAACAAATTTGAAAGACCATGTAAAATAAATAACGGGAAGCAACTCAGCTTTTCTGCACTGTGGGAGCAGTAGTAGTAGGCACACTATCAAACACTGTGAGCATCTGATAAACTTTTCTGTTGTTCAGGTTCTTTAACACAGCATGAGCACTTCAGCACTGTTGTAAACTATGAGCAATAAGACCTTGTGCTGGAAATTAGTAAACTACAAGTGCATTCTTAGCCCAGTGTGCTGGCCAGTTTGTGAGCAAGAGAGTGTGCACTTGCTTTGCTACAAATGTTCTGGAGCCTTGTACTGAGGTTGTACACTCACTGTGTCTCTTCCAAGTTATAATCATTTTGCAAGAACAAAGCAGTGGTTTAATGAAAATCAAGTTTCTGGACTGCATAATTTGAACAATTTTCCAAAATAAGGGGAATTCTAGTACCATTGCACTGTCTGCTGTTAGATTTACAGTGACCACAATGTTTCAGGAACTCCTTGTCTTGCAGATACTCTTGGTCTTGTTCCCTATGGGGACAGATGCTCTCAATTCAGTGACTGTAAGGGTGACCATGTTGATTCTTTAGCCATTAACATTAGAGTGTACCAACAGGGAGCTCCCCCTAATACTGTTATGGATGCTTCTTGTCTTTTCTGAATGCATTATAAGAATCTTGTGCTTCTCCGGTTTTTATTAGCTCTCAGAAAAATGATTTTCAGCAGCAGGCATCTGCAAGATAACCTCCTGGTCTTTCCATTAAACACACAGCAATTGCTACATGACTTCCTTTATTTAATTCACTCTGAATCCTCTGCTTTCTGTAGTTGTAGCTTCCTTCTGTCTTTTCATCTGTCCCTGAACATATTGCCTTCCTTAATTGCATCCTGGTTTGTGTTTCATGGAGAAAGAGAAGGAGGAAGATGTTGATGCTTTTCAAAATGACCAGCAATCTCTTCATTTCCCTGATTCCCTTTCAAATAAAAATGTCTGCCACAACATTTGGTTAGTTTTTCTAGGTTAGCTGTAAAAACAGATACTCTATTGGTTTATCTTCTCAGCTAGAATAGAGACAGAGCTCATCCCAGCATTATATAATAATAAATAAAAATTGCACTGTACGTGTTTCCCTTTAACTTCCAATTCTCCTACTGCATCATGGATTAATGGAAGTATGTAATGTTGAGGGATCATGTACATCTATATATATTGCATTCTTACTGGCATGGAGACAGAAAAATTTTGGCACCAGCCTTCTCTCTTCATTCCCAGACAACTGTTCTGTAATTAATTACTAGAATTAACTAGAAAATTACTTGATTTAGAAACTGTTTGGTTTTTAGTTGCATAGTACCTAATGCAGTGGACACCTGGTAAAGATCTGGTGTTCATGCCCATGGGAGGGGGGTTGGAACTAGATGATCTTTAAGGTCCCTGCCAACCCAAACCATTCTGTGATTCTTATTAGTAATGTATAGTAATTATGTCTGATAGATCCTGTGGTTGTCTGTAGACACACACACAGACACACTCTCAAATCAGTCCCAGCCCTACAAAGCTTATGTGAAGTTTTTTTTAAAAGGGTTTTTATAACATACTCTGAATTTTGTGCATATTGACTCCAGAAACTTGTGTTGATTGATGATCAGTTTCATCCTGTTTCTACACTGCATCGCATCCCTTTAGGTCTTTTACTGTCCAAGTGCAATTTGACTTTGAAACCTAGAAGCATTTCACCATTACAGTAGGCTGTAGATTCCCAAGGTGGAATTGAAGTATTGAATACTTCCCAAGGAGGTATTGAAGTGCTGTGCTCCCTCACACTTGTGGTGTACTAGAGAGAATAAATACAGCTCTGCAAAAAGGTGAATATTCAAACCCATTAGAACCTTTTGTTTTGGTAGTTTGTTTGTTTGGGCTTTTTTTTAATGTTTGCTTTCCTCCTGGGTAACTAACTACTAGGAAGGATGACAAAGATTGTATCAAAAGAAGGGCCCAAGTCTTTTGAGAGCATCAGTGTCATGTTTTTATAAGACAAGAGTATTGTTTTCCAGTTGTGAAACAATATTAGTCATTTAATGGAGCAACTTATGCTCGCAGTTTTCTTCCTGGGTGCTGGTGTCACACTCTGGCTAGTGAAACAGTTTGTAGGAATTAGATAATTGTTTCATCAAAATATGATTAAATCCAAATGCCTGTAATTGATGCTTCCTGTAAGCATTATTGGAACAGGACTCTGATGAAAGCAAATATACATTCTTGCTGTTCCCATTATTTGAACTCCAGAGGGAAGAAAAAAGGAAAGCAATTAGTGCAACAAAATAGATGTTTGTAATTTAGTATTCAAAGCATGCTTTTCTTTCTGTGTTTAATTTAATTTAATGGGGGGATTTTACGTACCACTTACAAAACTGTGTATTTAGTCTTTGTGTAGTGGTTTAGCTCCACTTTTGGCATGGCTGTCTTCTGCATTCTGAAGGCTATCTACTCTGCAGTAGTTTTCCAGGCTTGGTCATCTGTGTAGCCCTCAGCCGCGGGATGCAATACACAGAGATTCACTGAGGGGAAAAGAAAGTTGGTGGCCACGTTAATCTGATAAATGTTCTGGAAAGCATGCTCACTCAGATGGAAGAGCCAACCCTGCCTCTAAACGGTACTGCAGCTTGGCTTGAGGCTGTAAGCATCTGCACATGAGCCCGACTCAGTCATCAGTTTCCTGCAGGAAGTGTCAGTCACTTGTGTGCTGGGGACCGAGCCCAGTTTTCATGCATACATTTTGAACTGAGAAAGGTTGCGTGCATCTCTTCTCACTGGGGTGAGCAGCTTGTACCACTCGACTCTTTTTGAGCGTTTGCCAAAAATAAAGCACCATATTCATTTTGTCACCACTTCTTCAAATACAGAGCAAAGTGTGTATGTCTGAATAAGGATGAAATAAAGGAGGCTGAACTTAAAAGTATTTAATTTTACAAATCGGTTGAGCATTGGAGTAGGTTGCCTTCTGAAGCCATGGCATGAGGAGTCTCAGAACAGGTTAAAGAAACGTCTGTTGGGAGCAAGACAGCCAGTGTAGGTGGGCAGGGGAGGGCCCTCCAGCACTTTCCCCTTGCGTGAGCCATGACTCACTGCTGAAGCATTTCTCAAGTATATGATGCGTGCAGCAGCCCAGGGATGGCCTGTGCTGAGGCACAATGAATTCGTAAGGGGTTGAAGTGAGACATGACTTAGAGAGAGAGGGAGACACCAGATTGCACAAACCCCAAAGGTTCAGGCCCAGCTGTATTTTGATGTAATTCTGATACTTGCTGATCTAAGTCGTGGTGCAGTGTTGCTCTTTGAGGAGACCAGCAACATTACAATGTTACACTGTCAGAAGGACAAGGTTACAAAGTGCTACAGTGTTTATAGCAATCTCAGTTGGCCTTCATAAATATACCAAACTATTATTTTACGGTATTCATATTTTCAGGGGAAAAACAGCAGGCTTACTGTAAAGTGAGAAGTTTAAAACATAATGCATTTGTGAAAAGGTCAGATCCCCCATTTCTACAGGCCATTAATATGTGTCACTTTTCTTCTCTTACTTGAAAGGGCTACCTGGAGCTCTTTGGAGAGCAATGATTGACTGTAAAGTCAAATACAGACAGATTTATTTGAGATCATGTGCTGGTTTTGCTTGGGACAGAGTTAATTCTCTTCACAGTAGCTGGTAGGAGGTTGTGGTTTAGATCTGTGCTGTCATGGTTTAACCTCAGCCAGCAGCTAAGCCCCACACAGCCATGCACTTACTCCCTCCCCAGTAGGATAGGGGAGAGAATTGGAAGGGTAGAAGTGAGAACACTTACAAGTTGAGATAAAGACAGTGTAATAAGTAAAGCAAAAGCTGCACATGCAAGCAAAGCCAAACAAGGAATTCATTTGCCATTTCCCATCGGCAGGCGGGTGTTCAGTCATCTCCAGGAAAGCAGGGCTCCATCACATATAACAGTTACTTGGGAAGGGAAAAACCATCATTCTGAATGTGTGTGTGTGTCTCCACCTCTTTCTTCTTCCCCCAGCTTTATATGCTGAGCATGACATCATATGGTATGGAATATCCCTTTGCTCAGCTGGGATCAGCTGTCCTGGCTGTATCCCCACCTTCTTGTGCACCACCAGCCTCCTTGCTGGTGGTGTGGTGTGAAGAGCAGTAAAGGCCTTGACTCTGTGTCAGCACTGCTCAGCAATAACTAAAACATCCCTCCCTGTGTTAGCAACACTGTTTTCAGCACAAATCCTCCAAAACATGGCCCCATACCAGATACTGTGAAGAAAATTAACTCTATCCCAACCAAAACAGCACAAATCATGGAGGGTGAGGGTTCTGAAACTTTGTTTGTTGATTACAGAATTTTTTTTTGTGATAGCAGAGTCATATTGTCACCTTTACTGTTTGTTTTCCTTTAGGTTTCGGCATAGCCCAAATTGCTGGTACTTGAGAGACTGGACTGTCCACAGCTGGATCAGACAGTGCTTAAAATATGGTGCACAAGACAAAGCCTTGTACACATTAAAAAATAAGGTAACTCTTTACAAGAAAAAGCCATGAATATATTCGATCAGCTTTTTGAGACAAGTGTGGCTTACCTGGAATTCCTATTGCAGTCAGGTCGTGTTGATTGTGATTTTAAGTTCAGATACTTCTTTGTCAAAACAAAAATTAATGTTACATTGCAATTTTAGCTAAAACTCTTTACAGCTTTTATTTCCTCTTCTTTCCCAGGAAACTTTTTAGTTTCAAATAGTGTTGGTGTCCAACACATGCTAGATACGGGAGGGGCATAAAAACCTGAAAAGCAGTACCCCTTCTGGTTCAAAAGGCTCAGATAAAATGCAAAACCAAATCCAATACCTCAGAAGTTAGAAGGCCTACATCACAGGAGCCATGTTAATCTTCTGGTGTTGCTTGACTAACTATCACATGATTCTCATCTTTCTGATGCCTGCAGCACTACACTTGGGAAGATTTGAACAGCAGATTTTCTCACTGATTTTTTTTTCCTTCTTTTGTTCAGGTTCAGTATGGTATTTTCCCAGATAATTTTACATTCAACATTCTGTTGGATTGTTTTATAAAGCAGCAGAAATATGAAGGTAAGAAAATGTGTACCAATTTTGCATCGTTAGTTGTATGCTTTTATATCTGCAGAGCTTTTCTTTGTATTAAAACCTTTTAGGTTTATTTTCTCTAAAGTGACCTTAAAAACATGCCCTCTTTCTTTAAACTACTTTTCTGCATGGGTTTATCTCATTTCATTGGTGTTTTATTAATTCTATAATTTTGAAACATGTTCAATTCACTGTTTCTACTGTAATTAATCCCATTCCAAATGTAAATTAACTTCTCCAGTTTTTACAAGTCAGACTTAACATGCTAATGACATCATAGGAGTTCTTAGTGATAATTAGAACCTTACAAGAATCAAAATGCATGTTAGCTATTAAAAAAGCTGCATATCTAAACTGTCTAGACTTTGTCTTTGGAGAGACTCAGCTATGCTGAATTGCCATGTTGAGGAGCCTGTCTTTCACTTTCTCATGTTTGATGACAAATACTCAAGATTTTAATTTTATTGCAGGTTTTCTGCTACTGTAGACTTACAGTAAGCTTTTCTTTGCATAAACCTCATGTAAGACAAATATCTGAAAGGGACAATAGAATTGCAGAACTTGTCTGTAGCTTTTATCATAATGTTTTGCTAAAGGGCAAATTAATACATATATGTATTTTATTTTGAGAACTCTCCTATCCTGTGAATTCCCCCTTATAACACCCATATTTCTTTTCTGTGACAGGCTCAAAGCCCTTTGTTTAGCAAACTGTCCTTGCTGACAGGGTGTGTCACGGGAACTCCCTGTGGAGCTCCTCAGCACTGTATGATGAATACAGTGAGTGCTGTGGGTGATCTGTGACAACATTTCTGCTCCATTGTACTCTCCTGCCACCTTAAGTGGAGTGAATTTATGCCGGTCTTCTCTTGTTTGTAATGAACACAAGAACAAAGAATTAATTTTTAGGTATCTTTTAAAAAATGTTCATGATTGAAGGGCTGAGCAAAGAAGAGCTGACTGAAGAGTGTAGAGCTAAGATGAGTTTGAAATGCGCTCATGCTGTTCAACCCATTCTTCCTTCTCTCAGTGTATTTGAATAATCCAAGCAAGTAAGATATAATTCTATACTACTAGTCATAATAACTTTTCCCCTAACTACTTCAAAACATAGTACAGGAATGAAGTATCAGTGAACGTGTGGGTGTGAAAGGGATCTGTGTAAACTTGCACTTGTTCATTACGTATTGTTTTCCTCTGTAGATGCTATGTCAATAGTAACAGAGATCATGCTGCAAGAAAGTTTTGATGAAGTCTCAACACAGCTTCTTTCTCTCTATGTTTTATACCAGTACCTGGCAACCAAGTCTGAACGTACGGTAAGCTCATCACACTCAAAATGATACACGAAGCCTCTGTTTCTAAATGATGTGGTGCAGTCAGTTGGGCATTCAATCTTGAATATACTTTATTTCCCCCCAAGTTTACATAGTAAAGATAAATACTTGGAGTTTTGGGTTTGGTTTTTTTTTTCATTATTTTTACAAGTACAGAAGAAAGGAAATAAAAAAAGAAACGACACAATATGAAAGCCATCAAATAACTTGTCACCCCTTTTGCTCTTTTCCCTGAAAGGGAAGATGTACTGGGATTTTCAGATGTAATGTGTGCCCTTTGGAAGGTTATCAAATGGCATTTCAGTTCAGTTCAAGGAGGGTCTATCAGTTAACGTAAAAAACCTGTCACCTATTACATAGAACCCTGTTGAGTATTGCTGATCATTAGAGCCTGTTAATGGTGATGTTGCAGAATTATAAGGCATTTTTACTGTTCCATTTGGCTTTGGGTGTATTGTTTCTAGTACGTATTTGTTTTAATACTAAATTCGTTACATCTCTCCTGTCTCCAAGGATTAGGAGTTTCTTACATCTCGCTTGCTTAAGGCCAGCATGACAGTTGAGGCTCTTGGAATAGCATTATTCTACCTTTGTGGAAGGGGCTTAGTTAGATACCAGCAAAGGGCTCTGCCATGTCCATCACTTTAGGCAGCTGCTTTTCATGTTGTTTGGCACAAGCCTTCAACAGCATGTTGTCATCGGTAAGAAAAATGCTTGAAGCCTGCATTTGTTTTACATGAAGCATCTTCCCAAATGTATATTAAAGATGCCTTAAGGTTTTACTCAATTGGGTTGTAATTTCAGCTTTCACTATAGAAAACAGATGCTCATTTGCCCTGTTCCATATTCTCCCTCATTCCCTAGAAGTTAAGTCTGCTTGATCACTTGTATATGGAAAGCAGAGGGACCAAAATCTCACTTTCCCATTGTGTTTGTCCATGTTTGTGTATCCTCTCTTCAAAGACAAGCACTTGTTAATATGTGTAGCATTTCATGAAAGCCAATTGTGTAAACAATGGTGGTGTGGACAAATGACACGTTTATTTGTGACTTATTTAATATGCATTTTGTAACAGTCCCATCCAAAGGCAGCAGTGAGCCATATTTTTACCAATACACCATACAGAGCACCATTTGGTGCTCATAATGCTCAGTAGCAGTTTTCTATGTTTTATTTAAGGAGTGGGGAATAGGCGGAGTTATGAGATCTGCCCAGCTACTTCTGAATATCCCATTCCCTTTTCCCAGTGTATGAGACAGGTCAGCCAGTGTCCTGTTGCAGACAGGCTCTTGGCTGTAGTTCAGGGTCCAGCAGCCCGATGAAATATTTTTTAACTTTGGGAGCTGAATCTTGGGCAATCTATGTTAGTCCTTCGTGTGTAAAGCAGTGGTCATAGAATCATAGAATCA